CGCCGTCCGAGCTGCTTTCCGAGCCGCCTGGCAGTGGCCGATGCTCGCGCGCCCGCGGCAAGCGCCTCGGGGCCACCGCCTTCGCGCTCCCGAGCGGTATTCGGGCCGCAGCCACGGCGGCGACGGCCGCCGCCCAAGCTGGCCGCTGGAGCGCCATCGCGACGGCCCAGGCCCTGGCCCCACAGCTGCAGGCTGCAGCAAGCTCACGCCGCGATGATGCCGGCGCTGGCTCCCGACACCGCGAGGATCGTTGCGCCCTGAACGGTCGCGGCTCTCCGATGGCGGGGACCGGTCAGAGCTGGCCGATTCAGGGCAACAAGCGGCGCTCAACATTGAGCGCCCGCGCCAAGGTCGCCGCCGCCGCGTCAACGCGGCGCGCGCCTGCCGTAGGGGACGGCTTGGCGGGGAGGCAAAGGGCCGCGAGTGCCGAACTGTCTTGGCCAAAACTGCTACCCATAATTACGTTCGATCTCTTGATTTTTTTCCAATGCGGGGCGAAAGCCCCAGCTCTTTCCCCCAAGCGGGTTTTTCATCTGGAATAGTTTTTGACAATCCCGGGACCCAGCGAAGGCTCCCGAAGTCAGAAAAACGCCAAACACCGGGCGTTGTGCTTTTTGTTTGTTTGTTCTTTCGCCTTCTTCTTCTTCCACGCCGCGAGCATGTCTGGGTACGAGTCGATTGCGAGCCGTTGGGGGCGGTTGACGGCAGGAGCGGTGCGGCGCTGTCGAGATCGCGCATGGAATGTCTCTCGGTCGTGGGATCTCAACGAGACAGGTGGGATCCGAACGAGACGGGTGACATCCCAGCGGACAAAAACACCTAGGCGGGTGAGATCCCAATACGGCTTGTTCGAGATATGCAAAGCTTATTCAGAGTCTTCATATGCCAATTCATGCCAATGTATGCATGCAAGTGTGTATGCATGGATGCATGCATATATGTATGCATATATGTATATACGCATGTATGTTTGCATGCGTGTATGCATGCGTATGTATGTTTGAATGCTGATACATGTGCGTATACATGTATGCATGCATGTTTATGTGCATGCTTGTGCATAGGTATGTATCTTTGTGGTATGTATGCATGCGTGCATATATATGCATGTGCATGTGTATGTCTAACTGTGTGTATGCATCCGTAAGCACAAACATAGAGGTATCTGTATTTGTATGGATATGTGTAAGTGTTTGTGTATGTGCTTATCTGTGTATGTATGTGTATGTATGTGTATGTGTACGTGCGTGCGCGTGTGTCTGTCTGTCTGTCTGTCTGCCTGCCTGCCTGCCTGTCTGTCTGTCTGTCTGTCTGCCTGCCTGCCTGTCTGTCTGCCTGTCTGTGTGTGTATGTGTGTGTATGTATGTGTGTATGTATGTATGTACGTATAAACACACACACACATATATATACATATGTGTGTATATATATGGGCGTACTATTTCTCTCTTACTCCCTTATTCTGTGTAAACACAGATGCACAGCACCAGAGCCTTATAGGAGCCCATCTGTCGCCTTCGAAGCGCCATCAAGACTGGCCTTGCGCGCCATATGGGCGTTTTGTGGGCGCATGGTGCATGAAGAATTCGTGAAGATTTCTCCGGGTAGTCGGAGGATTCCTTCAACTTCTCCTACATTCCTAAAGACTCCTGCAGAGTCCCCACGGATTTGTGCGGGATCCCGCTGGGGCCATGCGGACTTCTCGAGCAGTTCTGCATATTCCCAAATTATTCCTAAAAGGATTCCGACATATTCTTTTGGGCTCCTGACGATTGTTTCCGATCCTTTAGACATTTCTCAAGATTCCTGGCGGCTTCCTGCGGCTTCCTGCAGGGTTCGTGGGGGCTTCTGATGAAATCGCGAAGATTCCTGCAAAAGGATTCTTGCAGATGCCTTCAATATTCCCACGGACTCCTGCAATTCTTTGCGGGTTGCCGTCACAGTCCTTCAGACTGTTGAAGCACTTCTGAAGGTTCCTGGAGAACCCCTTCAGCTCCGACACGGATTCGTCAAGATTCCTGTGGGATTCGCGGGGCTTCTTCGGGGATTTCTGCAGATCCGTGAGGGGTTCTTCAGAATTTCGGTTGAATCACGCGGGGCTCCAGAGGATTGCGTCGCAACTGTGTAACATTCCTAAGGGTTCCTGAGGGGGCCCTCAGGATTCCAACGGATTCCTACAATTTCCTACAAAGTTTGTGGGGCTCCTGACATAGTCTTTCTAGGATAATGAGGATCCCTGGAGGTTCCATTTAGATTCTCAACGATACACGCAAATTCTTCATAAACTTCTGCCGGTTATTGAAGGAATGGAAGGGTTCCTGCGGGTGTCCCCTGGGATTCCCAAGGTTTCGGGAGGATTCTGAAAAAGGCCCCCTTATGGATTCTTGAAGTATTCCTGCGGATTCCTGAAGGATGAATTTATACGGAAAATAAGCATGTGGGCTTCTCCGGGCCCTCCAGGAAGGCCTCTTGAAGCTCTCTTGTGGGCCTCTCGAACCATCCTGAGGCCGCCTTGGGTAGTGTTAAGCCATACTGGGCTGGCTTCGAATATTTAAGCTTCGATATCATACGGCAAACGGACGGATTAGATTCCAAGGGCGAGCGGTGAATACATCTTCGTATCCATTGAGGGGTACCGTTCGGTTTCTACGGCCAAAATGAGTATGTACATACAACTTGGGGAAGAACTTTCCGCACCCGTTGAGATCTCACCCGTCACAGCTTCCTGAACCAGTGGGATCCCGCCTGTCTTGTTGGGAACTCACTTGTCCTTCTGGGATCTCGGCCCATTGTGCATCTTGACATCTGCTGAGCGAGCGAGGCCTCGTGTTGACGTTGTCAGCCCACGTTGTGATCGAGAGCCCTGGCGGCATCCCCAGCCTCGGCCAGGAGTCCATCTCCCTTTCTCAGCCAGGGCTCCAAAAGTTGCCCAAAGGACCCCAAGGCGCCCACAACAGTCCCCAAGAGGCTTCCAAAACGCCCTCCGGAAGCCCCCAAGAGGCATCAAACAGCCTCCCGGAAGCCTCCAAAGAGCCGTGTGACTGACCTCATCCTCGTCCTGCCCATCATTACCTTCTCCTCGTCCTGCTCCTCCTCCCCCTCCTCCTCCGCCTCTTTCTCCTCATTCTCCTCCTCCCCCTCCTCCTACTCCGTCCCCATGCCCCCAACAACTCTCCAAAAGGCCACTGAGAGGCATCCCAAGAGATCCTCACACCGTAGAGCTCCAACCAGCTCTCAAGCAACCCCGTGCCAACTCCCAACAGACCTTCCCTGCTAGCTTCGAAGAAGCCCAACGCCGTGACAGGCCTCCTCCTCCTCCTCCTGTCCCTCATTCTCGTCCTCGTCCCGACAGACCCCCCCCTGCTAGTTCTCCTCCTCCTCCTCCTTTCCTTTCCTCCTCCTCCTCCTCATTTCTCCTTACCCTCGTCCTCCAACTTCTTCCACGAGCGACACGGGCTCTCTATTCTGGGGGTCGGCGGGCTGACGTAAGCAACTGGAAATTCCAGGTATTTTCTGCCAAGCCCAAACGCCCTCTCCCCACACGCTGAGCTATCGAACCGGCACTGATACGAATCAGCGTCGCGTGTGCTTGAGCATCCTTGGGTGGCACCTGAACCTGGACTGACCTAATCCCCCCCTGACGTGTTACACACGACGAGTGCGAGAGGCTGAGGCCGAGCGAATTCTTGTTGAAATTGCGCTAGCTACTCTCAAGCACAAGACGTGAACACCGTACTTCACCTGATGTCAACCATGCTGTACATTCATGGCTGGCGCACGGATCCAAGAGCTGTGGCTATTCGTGCTGGTGGTCCTGGCGGGGCGAACACAAATCGACGCCCACCTTGGGCTGAACCCAGACACCTATCGCGTTCCGTTTTGGAGCGATGCCAACGACTCGCGGACATCATCACTACTCCAACCAAAGTGTAGATCAACAGCTCCACGATCACATCGACTTACATCCTACTGTGCCGTGTAATAAGATCGTCCGATTTTTGACACGCTGGCGCAGCGTGGACCGGAGGTGCCCCGCTAGGCGCGCGAAGCCTGGTACAATGTGACGGGGGTGGAGCTGCGCCAGCAGGGGACGGGCAATCTCGGGCTTGTACCCACAATAAATCTATTTTTGTAAGGTTGAACGGGGCGGCGGTTCGGAAACGGCGAAACGCGTGGAGCTTCAGCCCCAAAAAAGTTCGAACCAGGTTCGAAAATCGGTTCGAAGCAACGACAGAACAAGAGCATTTTGTGCGGGTCTTCCTCGGAAAACAGGTTCGAACTCCGTTCGACACAATAGTAAAGTTTGCGTTTCGTGCGGGACTTCCTCAAAGAGCAGGTCTTCGGTTCGAATCCATCGAAGAGTAAGCGTTTCGCGCGGGACTTCCTCGAAAAGCAGGTTCGAACCAAATTCGACCTCGGTTCGAAGCAACAGAAACACAGGATGGTCTTGGGTTCGTCTGAACCTTGCAACATGCCATTGCATCGTTTCCAAGAGAGCCGCAGCTGCAACATTAGGTTAAACTTTCGTCGCGCCCATGTATTGGAACTCTGATGTGAGGTTCAAGTCGTAATTCGATTGGCGTGACGTGCGATCTGACGAATCCTTTGCTTGACCCGCACAGCCGCGATGCGATACCAATTGTTTTTTTCCAACCAAATGCCTGACCTACGATATAATCACACTTACGTGGGCATGCCCATCATTTCTACGAGCTCTCTCTCTGCAGTCATAGAGGAGGACGTGCCTAGACGGTGCCACAGAGATGGGCAAGGGAACATAATTCCCCCCAAAGACGCTGACAATGAGGAGCGGAGCGGAGATGGACAGGCTTTCGCAGGGCTTGCGCACTCGCACAAATCATCGCTCGTTGGGATCAGAAGGAGGTCGGAAAAAGAAGATGGGAACGAGGACTATGAAGAGGGGGATAAAGAGGAGGAGGAGGAGGAGGAGGAGGAGGAGAACGGTGCTGGCCTCAAAACACAACAATCAGAACGACGTCCTGCCCATAATTGATCGGCTGGATGACCACAGCTTGTGATATTCCGGTCTCGTCCATCAACTTGACGAAACTCTCAAACGTTCCCCGTCGGTCTGAGTTCAAGTTCTCCGGGATGGGCTTAGATGCCTGCCGCTGTCGCAGTGTCAGAAGTAAGCATCTCTGTTAACGCGCACTCCAGATAACAATGTTTATAAGGAAGCGTACAAGCATCCAAGCGTGAAAACAACAATGCGAGCGAGTTTTGGGCTAGCCATGCGTAACAGCAGGCAGTTCATAATGCTGAAGATTGCGAAGCACACGCACGCACGCATGAAACCATACAGACAACCACGAAACTAAGCAATCAAAACAACATGTAAGCATGCATGCAAGCACGTTTCATGCGATCACGCACGCAAGCACGCGCGCAAGCTTGCAAGCACGCCTTCATGCGAAGAAGTATGCAAGCAAGCATGCAGCAATGCGAGCACGCCTTCAATCGAGCACGCATGATTGCAAGCCTGCGCGAAAGGAATCGATGGATTTACCGAACGAGCAAGCTGGCAATACATCACCCTCTCTCTCACGCGCGCACATGCTTGCCAGAACGCTAGTGTACAATCTTGCAACTACAAGAACAATCCCCCACATATGAACACAAACAAGCATGCGAGCCTGCACATAAGCAACTGTAGACTTCTGCTGGCAACACCCACACACACACACACGCAAAAGCAAGTGTTCAAACAAACGGGTACGCAAGTACACGCACAGGCAAGCCCCAACGACGAAACTACTCGAGTAAACAAATTCAACCAAAAGAACGGGTCATAAGAACGGGGAGGCTTCAAGAACTGGCCACAATAATCGGCCATAACCCGACCACGGGCACCAGCACGCGCTCGACGCAGTCAGAACGCGTACAGCGTTGTCAACCGCAGATCAGGCTTAATTCGCCGACCAGCCCGGCTGTCCCTGCCTCTTCTGCTGTTTCTGGGAGTCGTAGATTTTCTTCGCCGACTGCTATCGCTGGCTGCTCTTACCTCGTCCGCTTTCGCTGAGTGGTGCAGATCGTCTCCGATGACTGTCGTCGTTGGGTGTTCTCGCCTCGTCCGCTCTTCGTGGGTGCCGCGGGTCTTCTTCGCCGACTGTTGTCTTTGGCTGTCTTCGCCTCGCCACCTGTCACCAAGTGTTTAGGACTTCGCCTGCTGGCTGATGCTCCAAATTGCCCCGCCTCGCCCGGTGCCTCTAGATGTTTAGAATGCCGAATGTTGTCCCCGCCGGTCCCACCTCGCCGGCTGTCCCTGAGTGATTTTCCCCGCCGACTGCTTTCCCTGGCTCTGCCGCCTCGCACGTTGTTCCCTTGCCGTTGTGAGCTCAGTGGCTCATTTCTTCTCCGCTGTCCCGAAATGCCGCGGATCGTTGTCGCCAGCTGCGGCCCCCAGCTGCTCCCGCCGCGTGCCCCGCCCATGGGTGCTGGGAGTCTTCTTCGCCGACTGATGTCCTCGGCTGTCTCCGCATCGCCCACCGCCCCTGGGAGCCTTCCTCGCCGACGGTGGTCCCTGGCTGTTCTGGTTCCGCCTGCTGTCCTCAGACGTTGTACGACGCCTGAGGGTCCAACTCAGTGCCTCTCTCACGCAGCTGCAGGCAACAGGCATTAGAACGCCTTTTATGTTCCATGCACTGGTCTTCTCTGCGAATGCGGGCGGAACAAGAAAACACTCCGCGTCGGCGGCGCTCGAGGGCGGGAAACACGAGGGTCAGGAGCCCCCTCTGGCAGACTCGGGCACCAGACCTTGGCCGAGAGCGGCGGGTTGCCCCGACACGCCGACCTCTGGCATCCCCGCTGTGGCTAAAGTCGGGCGCATTTCCGCCCGCGCGCATGTGCACGCGTGTCTGTGGTATGCACTCGGCACATATGAGGACACCAAATGTTAAAGTGCATGTGTAGGAACGACGTGTATGCGCATATCCCTAGAGGCAACAACACCCGGACAGACTATGGCTGGCCAAGCCAGTGAGGGAGGCTTGCCCGGGAGCCTCCAGGGCAAACGTAGGCTAGGGACGATGAGCAATCATTCTGAGGACAAGCACTTTCAACACTATTTGTCTATGCATGCCCGAGGTAACAAATACAAAGGTCGGTTCACGTCGCAGCGAGCGTAGTGAATACTAAGCTGTGAAGTGTCGGGTTGGATGATTCGTGACACGAAATTTGTTGCACACGTCGTGAACTATTGTGTCGGCAGTCAGCAACGCCGTGTTGTAGTCTGATACATTTGTCATATGTGCGCCTCGCAGGTCACGATGGTAATTCTTAGTGCCCTGGTTGATTTCTGGCTCGTTCTACTCGCGCTTCCTATCGCATTTTCTCGATCAGAACTCGTACCTGCCGAATCGGCAATCGCGCCTCTGCGAGGCTCGACGGACCTCGTCATGCTCCTTCTGCCGAGTCTTCAGGGTCGACTGACCGAGGCTGCTTGGCATCGCTCCCAAGAACGGTGAGAGCCGACATCCATCCTGGCGGTAGAATAGAAGGCTCCTCGGTTGTCCCCCAGCAACAGCAGTGGTAAGTGAGTGGCTCCCACGGCAACGCTGCGCCACAGCGTGAGGCGGCGCAACGAGTGGCGGCTGTCAACACGGCAAAAAGTAGAAGGCCCCCCTTAAGAGCCAGAAGGCCCCTCCGACAGCAAAAACGAGTGCTGGCAGAAAGGGTCGCGCAACATCCATCCGAAATCATGGCAAGTACCAACAAACGAGACCTCCCAACCCGCGCATTCAGCCCGCCCCCGCGAGGGCGCACCGGGTATCTCTCCGCGTCGGGCGTCCACAGATGGAGGTGAGTGTCGATGCGCTTCCTGAATGCAGAGGAAACTGAACAAGGTGGAAGCATTGATGACAGTAGATTGCCGATTGCCGACTGGGGTTTCCAGATGCCCCCTTCTACTTCTGCGTCCTCTCCCCCTCTCCTTTTCCTGTTCCCCTTGCATTGCCCCTTCTTCTTGCTCTTCTTGTCTCCCGTGCCCTTCTCCTTTTGCTTCTTATTCCTTCATGTCCCAGCCGGGGGGTTCTTGTTATTCGTGTGGTGCCTCAACCTCCATCCTTCCTTCCCGCCTCCACCATCCTGCCTCCCACCTCACATTCAGACTCGCTCACACTCAGACCGCTCGCGCTAACATGCACTCATGCTGAGCTTTGTCCTACGTCGACTCGTATGCGTAAAAAGTCAATTTCGTACTCACTGACACTCAGTGGCACTCACTTCCATGGATGAGTCACACACACACACACTCAATCACGCCCGATGCACTCACATCCAGACTCATTCATGCCTTAATACGCTCATATTGATGCCTGAATCCCCACGACATTGCAGGCGTGGCATTTGGGCCCGCCCAGGGAGGAGCCGCCAGGGGATACGACACGTGCCCGCCAGTGCCCATACTGTGGGATGCGTCGAACAATTTGCTTGTTTGCCCCCTAAACATCTATCTTTTGAGTCCCGTGATCACCGCGACAAAGCAGGCGTGGCAATTGGGCACCCCAAGGAGGAACCGCCAGGGAGGGGGACACTTGCCCGTTCGCGCCCAAATTGTGGGGATGCCTCAGGCGGTTTGCTGGTTTGGTGGGCCAATCCCCTGTCTGTTGATAGCCCTATAACCACCACGACATAACAATCGTGGCATTTTGGCACCCGAGCGGTTTGCTCGCTTGGCGCCCACGGCTCATCACTTTTAAGAGCCTCATGTTCACATCGATGCAGCAAACATAGCACGTGGACGCCCAAGGAAACACAGCCAAAGGGTATTGCACTTGCCCGTTCGCACCTAGTTTGTGGGGATGCTTCGAACAACCCACTGGTTTTGACACCCCCGACTCCTTACTGTCCAGAGTCCCATGCTCATCGCGACATAGCAGGCCTGTCATCTGGGCACCCAGGGGGTAGCTGCCAGGGGGTGTTAATTGCACTTGTCAATTCACGCCCAGATCGTAGGGCCTCTCAGAATGCACGCTGGCTCAGACACCCCGATGCCCCACCTTCCAGCGCAGCACGATCATTCCGACGTATCAGGCACAACGTGTGGACACCCCAGAAGGGGTGCGCCAGTGCGCGCCCAGTCGCCACAAGCTGGGATTCTCACCCTCAGACACCCAACGACGGAAATGCGACACACTGAGATGCATCTATGGGGTCCTCCGCGCTGAATGCGTACCAGTCATCGTATGCCAATCTTGCTTCTTACGTCTCCTTGTCCTTATTCTCCTCCCACTCCCCCTACCTCCCGCCCCCCTCCTCCTCCCTCCCCCCCGTCCCCTTTCCTCTGTCTGCACCTGCCACCCCATATTCCTTCCATGCTAAATCTTACCCCTTCCTCCTCCCCATCATCCCGCTGCCCATGTTTCTCCTGCTCGTGCTCCTCCTCCCTCCTCCTCCTCCCCCATCCTTCCTTTTTTTGACGTTGCGTAAACTTGGGACGGCAACTTGGTTGCCCTCCTTCTCCTCCTCTTCCTCATCCTCGCTCTCCTCCGCCATGGTCCGTGCCCGTGTTCCCTCGGGCTCTTCTGTCTTCAGTGTTGCCAGCCTGTGTCATCCTTCTTCGCCTCCTCCTCCTACTCCTCATTCTCCCCCTCTCCCTCCTCTCTGCCCCCTCCTTCCTGCCATATTCTCTGAACAGGACGACGTCCCCGCCTCAGTCCCCCCGTGGGTGGCGGCGGAGAGGGGGAGGCGATGGAGGGGGCGGGATGGGGGAGGGAAGCGCATTGTGCCAGGAGGGGTGTGTGTGGTGTGGGGGGGGCGTGTAGGATGATGGCGGAAAGAAAAGGGGAGCGGGGGAGTTTTTTTGAACTCAACGCTTCACAGCCTGATATCATCTCGACCAGCGGCGGCTGAAAACGCTGGAAGCACATAATCACACCAGGAAGTACAAGACGAAGCTTAATGCGGAGGGGGATGGGGGACGGGAGACTCTGTGCTGGCGAAGGCGGGCATGCCTACGTCGGCGGACGGCGCCGTGCTGAGCCGTCGTGACCCCCGCGCCCGCCAGCGCCGCGCGCTTCAGGAAACCAGCGTCCGTTGACGAACCCCTGCTGCTCGGGCGCGGTCTTGGCGGCCACGCTGTGGAGCGACCTGTTGGCGGACGGCGCGATCGGCCTGGCGTCGGCATTCTTCGCTGAGAGCGGGCAGAGGCCCGCAAGAGTGCGCGCGCACTCTGCGCTGCCCAGAGGCGCGCCACCCTTCGGGGGCGTGCCCATGGGAGAGTTGTCCACATCGCGTGGAGTGGATGTCGGATGAACGATGGGGTCGTTCAGCTCGGCCCGCGCCGCGGAGCTGTTCGACGCGCGACGCTGGGCTCGGCAAGTGGGCCCACCGGGGCTCGGGGCCGAAGCTCTTGCGAGCCCGGCCGCGTGCTCAATGCTTGCGGCCTATGGCGTCAGGAGTTCCAGCATGGGCCTCTGCGAGACGACCCTGTCCAAGTGTGTGGCGATGGCGTCGTCGTCCACAGGCTTTCTCTGCAAAGATCGGCTCCCAGCGGTTCAGGATAGCGTCGTGCATCGCGGTGTAGTCGTGGATCCTGGTGTTCGATGTCTCCCTGGGCATCTTGATACCCGTCAGCACGGGCCTCGTCGAGAACAATGTCCACAATTCGGCTATGCGCTCTTCATGGCGCGAACGCTTCCGCCAACGATTGCCCGGCTGTGCGTAGTTCTGTGTGTGGGCGACCCTCGACCGCGAAGCGGCTTTCGTCTTGCGCTCTGCTCCGAGGCCAGCGTGGATGGTGTCCGTCCCCGGCCTGAAAGAATCGAGGTCTGGTAGCTCCACCCCGCCCCCGGCGACGCGAGGGTGGCGTGAACCGATCGAGGTGCGCTCCGGCAGCCTCGCAGCCAGCGAGAGGTCTTGGGCGCCGCGCCGCCCCCTGCAACACTCCGCAAGGTCACGCCGCGAATCTCCCTGGACAGGCCAGCCGATTGGCTCGACAGCTCTGCGGTCGTGGCTTCGACCTTGCGTCGCGTGCTGGCCTGGTAGCCTCGTGCGTGGTGCTCTTCAGCGTGCGCCAGTTGGTCGTGGCGTTCATGTTGGTCACGTCGATGTCAACGAGGTGGGAGACGTGGTGCTGGTGGTGCGGGGGGTTGAAGATGAACGCGGGCTCTCCTCTCTCCTGTCGGTCTCGTTCGCGACGGGGTCGGAGGCGCAGGTGTATAATTTTGCGGTCGCTATCCATGCGGGGCGGAACCTCTGGCGAGGCGTCTTTTGCCGCAACCCATGTTTCCATGAGCGGCGTAGCATGGGTGGGCAAGGATATGAAACGCCCGTCGATCGTGTCTTCCGTCATGTTGGCCACGCTCCTGTGGGTCGTCGCTAATGAGGTGACACCGACCATCTCCTTGAAGAAATTCCGCCAGAATACGGGCTGGCATGGGTAGCGCTGAGCCGCCGTGGTGGCCAAGACGGCGGGCGCGTTGAGGCTCTTCGGCGGGTGCTCCGACACGTTGAAGCGCCGAGCAGGGAGGGGCCGATCCATCGGGCGTTCGTCAGTAAGTGCGCGAGAATCATTCCAGTGGCGAAGTAGTTCCGCACGGTCAGCTGGCGAGGGATCGTAGCTGTGAGCGTTGATGATCGTGATGTCCGCTTTGCATTTCATATCTGTGACTCGGGGCCATGCCGCTCGACCTAGAGTAACCATTTCGAATCGTCGAATTGGGCGCTCATCGGGTGGCCGACTCGGCTCGGCCTTGTCGATCGAGACGAGGAAACCGATGACGCCATGGGAAATGCTGTCTTCGATCTGCGAGTGGCGCGGCACGTGCGAAAGCTTGGTGGAATTGGTGAGAATGGTGAGGTCGTCGAAGGTGCCGTGAGAGTCCTGCAGCGCGATCGCTGCCCTCTGCCGAAAGAGAGGAAGAAGATGTTATGCTTATTTTGTCGTCGGCGGTCTGATGATCCGAGCAGAGCTAGTGAATTCCAGAATGCTACGTTGAGGCCTTCCTGCGCTGGTTTCTCGAACCACGGGGACCACCGAATGCTAAAATCACAACGCAGCCGTTAGGGCATCCGCGAAAGAGTTGCCGAACTCGGTGTCGATGGCTCGCTCGACGGAGTCGATGAAGCCGAATGGTACGGTAAGAGCCCACCGCACACGAGAAGCATCGTCAGCAGTGGCACCAACATGGATATTGACCAACGCTTCGTCCTGGTGGGCGACGTAGACGAAGGACCGATGTGTGCGACTGTCGACGTTCGGATTTGACCTTGGAGAGCATGATCTAGGCGAGGCGCTTGACTTGGACTTCTCGGCGTGCTGTTTTGAGGCTCTTGTCATCAGACGCATAGAGGAGCAATGCCACCTGCATCCATCCCGACGCCAGTAGCTAGTTTGGCTCAAAAGGTTTTCGCCCCGTGGCAGGGCTCGGAGACCCTTGGCCCAGGGACAGCTGAGAACCATGCTTTGCCTCGCCACGCCCGCGGTGATGGCCTCCATATCTATATATCACTCGCCCACATGTTTCGTTTCCACTGGCTGGCGCTGGCCACCATTTATTCTCATGGCGCTGGCAGGGACTCCAGAGAGAGGAGCCACATCAGCTCTCGGGGACCGTGGCGTGGACCCACGGGCATAATTAGCATCCAAACTTACCACATAAGCTGTATTTGCACACGTTCGCAAACACCTCGAAGAAACGCTGGAATCACAAATCGCAGAAACCGCCTCGAAGTTCGAATTCACCACCAAAGCCGTCACGGTAACAGCTCGCTCACAATCCCTCTAGGCAGCCATGAATATCGCCGCCGACCTCAGCAACAATAACAAGCGCATCGAGAGACAAGGCCGCTGCCACCAGCATGCGCATGGACCAGCCAGAGACAGTTAACAAGGAGCCGCAGGGCGCCGTCGTCAAAGTGCAATCAGTGGTGGACGCCGCTGAAGCCCGAATGCCCTCCCTCGATATCGCCTGGCTGGGCTCCTGGGATCTCGACGCCGACGCCCTCGCGTTCTGGTGCGGCCGCGCCACCCAGGACCGTCGCCGCCCCGCCCCGGAGAGCTGGCTCCGCGCCGCCGCCGTCGAGCTCAATCTGGCCACCTTCAGCACCGTGGGCACCGCCAAGCGCCACGCCGTTCACCGTCGCTGGAGGCACGGTCGTGGCAGAGCCGCGGGCGCGCCGCCTACACGAGGCACCACCAGGAGGAGAAGGATGAGGATGAGGATGAGGATGAGGATGAGGATGATGATGATGATGATGGTGATGATGCTGATGATGATGAGGATGATGCTGATGAGGATGATGATGATGAGGACGATGATGATGATGCTGATGGTGATGATGATGAGGATGAAGATGATGATGATGATGATGATGATGACGATGATGATGATGATGATGCTGATGATGATGCTGATGGTCATGAGGATGAGGATGAAGATGATGATGATGATGATGATGATGATGATGATGATGATGATGATGATGATGATGATGATGATGATGATGCTGATGATGCTGCTGGTGATGATGATGGTGATGATGACGATGGTGATGATGATGATGATGATGATGATGAGGAGGAGGAGGAGGAGGAGGAGGAGGAGGAGGAGGAGCAAGAGAACCCAGACCTCCGACGTCGTGAAATCCTCAACCCGTAGGCCCCGAGGAAGTCTCGACCCATTCCTGGGGACCGGCTTTTCGTTCTGGGCCCCCTTCTCAGAGTCCAGGGGACTCCCAAGCGTGCCCGCCAAGGCCAGCACTCTGGAAAGGACTGGCCGCCACGATTCTTTCGTGACGCTGGAAGGTCTAGAAGGCTTCACCGCTCCCTCGCCCCCCCGAACGCGTCCTGGGGCGCGTTCCAGCCAGAGTCCCGAGGCGGGTCCACCCGTGGCGACGCAGGGCGCACGGTGAGGCCCGAAACGGGGCCACCCGATGTGCGGAACGATCCTGCCAGGCCAGCTGCTCCAGCTTCCCGGCGGGAGCGGCAGGCACGACCAGCGGCAGCACGAGCGCGAGGGCGAGCGCGCATCGGCATCGGCCGCGGCAGCATGGGGCGGCACGCGGCCGCGGCAGAGTGGGCTCTTCCAAGGCCGAGCTTGCCGAGGCAGGACCCACGTGCAGGGGCGACGCCCGTCGGTGATCGGGGTCTTCAGGCCACCACTCTTGCCTCTGGCGGCCGTCAGGTCCGATCCTGGCATCCCCGGCGCGTTCCCGGCGAGGCCCAGCTGCCGAGAAGCATCCCGGGCCGGAGCATCTTATGGGAACCGACGAAAGTCGCCGACTGCCCCCCCCCGCCCCCAGCCCTCCTCTCCGCGGAGGCGGCGGCCGCGCGCGCCATGCCGCCGCCCACGAGCCCGGCCGCCGCGGCGAGCCAAGGCACCACGGCGGAGGGGGCGCCGCGGCCTCCTGAGGCGGGCCCGAGGCGGGCGGGCGCGGCGCGCGGTGGATGGGCGGCTGAAGCGGCGGGCGGGCCGGGCTCTGCAGTGGCGGGTGGGCGGCGGGGCCTTGCGCCGCGTAGGGGCGGCGCGCCGCGGCGGGTGGGCGGGAGGCAGGTGGGCGGCCGGGTCTGACGCGGCGGGCGGGCGGCGGGGTCTGGAGCGGATGGGCGGCGCAGGGGGGCGCCGAAACCGTTTGGCCACCACCCTCCTGACCGTTTGTGGGCCCGCTGGCCAGGCCAAGCAGGGACGTCCAGGAAACGCAGAAGACTTGCGGGACCCTCTGCAAGGGCGTCGCGGGCCAGGGATCCGGGGGGTCCAGCTTGGAGGGGGTGCCCCCCGCCCTCCCCTGTGGTCTGTGAGAGCCTCCCACAAACAGTGTGAAGTAAGGGGTTCTTGCTCATTTTCGAAGAAATTGATCCTGACTTTCGGTCCACCGGCTGTCTTGCCGTCGTCGCCGCCTCGTCGCCGCCAACCGTGTGGGCCTGACGATCGGTGTGGCGGCTATGTCGCCGCCGTCGGCACCCCGTCGCCGCTTCGCAAACATTTCCCTTTCGGAAAAATCGGATCTATCCATCTCTGGAATTAGCGTTACCACTTTGGACAATCATATGTAACCACTCTCACCGCAACAGACATGACAAAACATCGTAGGAATTTCAATATCGAGGTTCAAGCAACTGGTGGTTTTCCAACAAGACTTGCCAACATAAATCTGCGCGCGCGCTCCTGCTAACACCCAGGAGAACAACAACTTTCTCAATTTTTTCATCGAGTGCGACGAAAAGGGCCCCTCGCGCGCGCATGCCGAAATCATTGCGGAGCCTTTGCGCGCTTGTGGGGGGGCGCGATCTTTGTCAAATAACCATGAGGGCCACTCTCCCGCGTCGGCCGCACGCGTGACCGCCATCATCGCCATCGGCGTGGCCGGCATCGTCGCCGTCATCTCTACTATCATCATCGTTTATGCCATTGCCGACCTCGCATAATACCGAGCAAGCCCGAATCACCGAATCGCACTGAAATGCCCGCGCGCCAGCGCGGCCGGCGAGACGCGCTGGGAAGTCCCCAGCGGTCAGCGCCACCGCGGCCGCGTCGGTCGCGCCAAACTAGCTGGCCGCTCTGCTCGCGAGCCTGCGCGCGCTGGAGCTGTCGCAGCGATGCACCAGCCAGCGCCAAGCAGTCATCGCGATCGCCGCCGCATGGGTTGGGTTTTGCAATCCAAGTTGCGGGTGGGAGGGTGGGATGGTTGCGCGAGCAGAGGAGCTGGCACGTTCAATTTCGGCAGGGTGAACTGCGCCGCAAATATTGCACCGCCCCTTTCAAAAAGAACATTCGGATCCCCTCTTTTTCGTATTGCAATTTGCGTATGATTCTGCCCCATCGTCCATCCTAGATATGACTTCGCATCATCCCAGCCAAACCGGTAATGGTTCTCACCGCATCCTTGGCAGAAGCTGCTATGCGCGCACTCGTTTATCAAAAGCCCACAATTTTCAATAATCACTTACAACAGATGGGACGAAGTGCGCACGCGCGTTTTGTCGCGCGCGCGTGCTGGAATCTTTCGAAAACCTTGGGTTTCGCAAGGATTTCAAAATCGAGCGCCCCGAAAACACTTTGAATTCATATATGGTTGTGCAACCATTTTTTCAAACAAAGCTTGCGATCGCGCTCCTGCGACCTCTTAAGACAACTTCATAAAGATGCAACCGAATGGACCTGGCGTGCGCATGTTCAAATCGTTCGAGCGCCCTTGCGCGCGTGCTGTCGCAAGAACCCCTCGGAAAAAAAACATGACGAAGTGCACGCGCGCGGGTCGTCGCGTGCGCATGCCGAAATCCCACAAGCACCTTAGGTTTCGTGAGAATTTCAAAATCGAGTGCCAGGAAACCAAATAAACAACAGGTGGTTTTGCAACGTCAGTTGTTCCCCATATCCAAGGAATTGGGTTTTGCTTATTATTCCGACCGCGCCAATTCCTTCACACTCACTCGTCCTCCCCCTTCTCCTCCTCCTCATGTTACGTTTTGATGTGCTATGTTATGGTATGGTATGCCATGGTATGTCATGCTATGTTTTGATATGCCAATGCTATACTGTGTTATGTCATGCCATGCCATGGTATGTTACGGAATACCATGTTATGCTATTTTATGGTGTGATATGTTCAGGTATGGTATGGTATGCATCTTGCTATGCTAGGATATTCTGAAATCTGTTAGACTAGGTTATGCTACGGTATGACATGTCACGCTATTGTATATTATGATATTTCTGCTGAAATGATGACAATGCTGATGATGCTGCTGATGGTGATGATGCTGCTGCTGCTGATGATGATGATGATGATGATGATGATGATAATGGTGGTGATGGTGATGCTGCTGCTGATGATTATGCTGATGGCGGGGCACATTCTGAGGATGTCTCGAGCGAGGCGCGGGTTTCAGTATCCCAAAGGGGGAGCCGCCAAGGGGTATTGCGCTCCTTCGTTCGCGCCACAATGGCGGGGATGTCTCGTTCGGGGTGCCTGTTCTGGCGCCCAATATCCTCCGCTTTCGGAGCAGATTCTGAGGATGTCCCGAGCGAGGCGCTCATTTTCGCCCCCAAAGGGGAGCCGCCACATGGTATTGTACTCCCCCGTTCGCGTCAACATGGCAGGGATGTCTCGAGCGGGGTGCCTGTTTTGGTGCCCAGCATCCTCCGCGTTCGGAGCAGATTTGGAGGATGTCTCAAGCGAGGCGCTCATTGTCGCACCCACGGGGGGGGACAAATTTTGAGCGTGCCCCGAGCGGTTTGCATATTTTGCTGGTCAGGCCCGTGGGCACGACGGATCCTCGTCAGGATGCCACAGGAGGCTCCAGCAGGCTCCAGGAGGCTCCAGGAGACCACAGGAGGTACCAGGAGGTATCAGGATGCCACAGGGGGCCCCACGAGGCCCCAGGAGGCTCCAGGCGGCCCCAGGAGGCCCCAAGAGGGTACAGGAGGCCCCAAGAGGGCCCAGGAACAGAAGGCATCAGAAGGCCACAGGAGTGGCACCAATCCCACGTGTTTGCGTATGCTCCGTAAGATTGGGCCTCACCATGAGCGCGAATCATTGATTTGTTACTTATGTTTCTATAAACGGTCCCTCTCCTGTGCATCCAATCCTAAGTGTTTTACGTATGTTCGTGTGTGTATATATATATATATATATACAGGGTCTCCTATATGTTGACGAGTCCTTGGTGTTTTACGCGTGTTCCTATATATTGCCTTTCTCCTGCGGCTCCAATCCGCAGTGCTTTATGTAGTCTGTTCCTGAGGCACGAATCCTTCTCAGGAGTCTCCAGGAGGCTCCAGGATGCCCAGGAGGCCACACGAGGCCCCAGGCTAATCCATGTGGATCCCTGTCCCAACTCCTGAAGGTCGGCCGCGCGCCCCTAGGTTGCTGTCTGACCAATTGCCTCCGCCTCGTCGCTGCGCGCAAGGCTGCGATCGCCACGGTCTTGCCTCTGTGCCTGGCCGTGGGCGCCCCGCGACGCCTACCGCATAGCAACTTGCACCACATGGATTCTTTCTTAAAAGAGCAGACTCTACCCCCCTCTGGGAGTATCGGCTCGCTTTTTCGTTTCGCAATTCACATCTGATTCTGCCCCATCGTCCATCCTGAATATGAACTCGCGCCATCCCAGGGGCCGCTCTCGCTCCACCCCCGCCACCCTCTGCAAAACATACAATGCGCGCGTACTCGTTTATCACAAGCCAGCAACTTTCAACACTATCTTGCAAAACGTGGGACGAAGTGCGCGCGCGCGAGTGCAAAAACAAACAAAGCAAGCACATGGTTTCGCAACACAGTTTGCCAACAAAAACTTGCGCGCACACTCTTGTGCATTCCCCCAACAAAAACATGGTTTAAAATGCTACCAAACAGGCGTCGCGCGCGCATGTCGAAATCGTTCGAACGCCCTTGCGCGCGTGCCGTAAAACGGGACGAAGTGCACCCGCGCGCGTCGTCGCGCTTGCCCAAGTCCGTCAAAAACCTTCGGCCTCGTAAGGGTGTCAAAATCGAGTGCCCAAACAACATATCAAACACATGGGTTCGCAATCCCGGATTTTGAAAGAAACTTTCGCGCGCGGTCTAGGTTTTCAGTACTTTCATGCAATTCTTCCTAACGGGCCTCTGGCGCCGCGTGCAGTGATCATTCGCACGCCCTTGCGCGCGTGCTGGGCGGTGGGGGGGGGCACGTGTCAAGTAATGCCATGCGGGTCACTATCGCGCGTCGGCCGCGCGCGCATGTCCAATTCCAAAACCTTCATCACCGACGAGAGGACGCCGTCATCGTCGTCGGCGCGATCAGCATCGGCACCTGCACTGGCCGCGCCGCCGTCATTGTCAGTCTCGTCGCCAACATCGCTACTGCCATCATCGTGTCTACCGTAGTCGACGTTGCCATGGTACCGCGCCCGCCCAACTCGCTGACTCGCAGTGAAGTGCCCGCTGGGATGTGCCCAACGGTCAGCGGCCGCGGCAAACTAGCTGGCCGCTGCGCGAGCGTGCTTGGGTTGGCGCGGCCGCAGAGATGCACCCGCCAACGCCAAGCACTCATCGCAATCGCCTCCGCGTGGGTTTTGCAAACCGAATTGCGGGTGGGTGGCTGGGATGTTTGCAAGAGCATGGAATGTATCAGCTCGTTTGTAAACACCGATTGCACCACATAGCGTGCACCACATCGCTGGCACCGCATAGCTTGCACCACGCAGCCTGCGACCACACAGCTGGCACCAAATAGCTTACACCACCCAGCTTAGCACCACATACCCTCGCCCGTTTACGTAGCCTACATCGGACGCGCGCGCGGTCCTCGCACGAGCCAGCTGCGCGCCAGCCGGCGCGCGGCGGCGCTGGGCGCCGCGGCGGTGGCCGCCAGCCGCCCGGGCAGCGCGAGCGCCAGGGGCCGCGGCGGGCCCAGGCGGCAGCCCGCTGCGCCGCGGGGCATCGCCGCCGCGAGCGCAGATTGGTCGGGTGCTGCCAGAGGCGGCCCTGGCCCGAAGTGGCCCTGGGAAGGAGGAGGAGGAGGAGGAGGAGGAGGAGGAGGAGGAGGAGGAGGAGGAGGAGGAGGAGGAGGAGGAGGAGGAGGAGGAGGAGGAGGAGGAGGAGGAGGAGGCAAGGAGGAGGATGAGGATGAGGGGGAAGAGGAGGAGGAGCAGGAGGAGGAGGAGGAGGAGGAGGAGGAGAAGGAGGAGCAGGAGGAGGAGGAGGCGGAGGAGGAGGAGGAGGAGGAGGAGGAGGAGGAGGAGGCGGAGGAGGAGGACGAGGATGAGGCTGACTTCTTCCAGGCGAGGCCCGGGCGGGCGCCCATTGCGCCACTCACGAAGCCCAGGGTCCCCCCGGGGGCGCGAGCAGCGGGGGCCCCCCCGAAGCCTCGGGCCACCTCCTGGCAGCCCCCGAGGCCTCGGCAGGAGGGAAACGGGCCCACGGGGGTCCTTGGGTGCTCCTTGGGCCTCCCCGCGGGGGCCCTGCCCGAGATCCGTGATGACGTAGGGCTCAAGGCGCTTTCTCAGCGAGGCTACGCCCTGGGTAGAGGAGTCCAGGGGAACCCGAATCCAGCACTGTTGAAAACATCTGCGTGTTCTCTTGTTTCTCGCCTCCCCGCGGGGGCCCTGCCTGGGCCGGGGGGCCGTCGGGATGAGCAGCTGGCCCAGGGGAGCGCCCCCAGGGGTCCAGCGCCACTCGTGGAGTCCCCCCGGACGTGCCGGCGGCCTATCAGGTCATCAGCTCAAGGGAGGGCGGCCCGTCTCCCCCTCCAGGGGGAGCGCCGCCGCCGAGGGCGGCGGAGGGCCAGGGCCAGGCAATGCTAGGTCCCAAGTCCGCGCCCTCCCCAGACCCCCAACGTGGCGTTTTTTGCAGCGTGGACCCCCGGAAGTTCCCCTGGAGTGGGTCTTCATCCCGGCTCGTTTTTTGACGGTCCTGGGGTCCAGTGAAGGCCTCCAGGGGCCGAAACGGGCAATTTCCCTGCCTACGCTATGTTTCCGCATTTAGGCTTGCCTAAAAGGTTTTTACTTGGTTCGCGGTTGGTTATTCGGGGGGGTCCTCGAAAGTTTCCCGGGTTCCTCGGGCTCCTTCCCGTTCCTCGGGTTCCTCGCCCCTGGTGCCTCCGACTGTTACGTTGCCCGTTTCTCGGAGGTTCCTCGGGTTCCCCGGATTCCTCGGGTTCCCTGGGTTTCTCGGGTTCACCGCCCCTGGTTGCCTCAACCAGTACCAAGCAATGCCGAGCAATGCCAACTCATGCCAAGCAGTGCCAAGCGATGCGCCCAGCGATGCGCCCATGCAACAGGCTTTCCTCCAATCGGGGTCGCGCCAGGCTCATTCTCACGACGCGAAGAGGTCTTGAGCCCAGGGCCCGCTTCTTTCCTGCCACGCGGCGGGCTGGAGGGGCCGGTCGCCCGGCGGGCCCTGCGCCGCCAGCCAACGGCAGTGTCGGCGCGGCAAGGAACTCGTCCGCTGGGGAGCCCAGTCCTCCAGGATTCCTGCTTCGTCCTCCTCCCTCCTCCTCCTCCTCCTCCTCCTCCGCCTCCCTCCCTCCCTCCCTCCCTCCCTCCCTCCCTCCCTCCCCCCCTCCCTCCCTCCCGCCCTCCCTCTCTCATCGCGAGCAACCTCGATCCTTGCCTCCGTCGCTGCGGAGTGCCCTGCGCGCCACCGCTCAGGAGCCTGCCGCGCCGTCCGTCCCTGCTCCCTCCCTTCCCTCCCTCCCCTCCCTTCCCTCCTCCCTCCCTCCCTCCCTTCCCCTCCCTCCCTCCCTCCCTCCCTCCCTTCCTCCCTCCCCCTCCCAAGCTGCGGCGGCCCAATCGTCGGGTTTTCGGGTCGCAACTCGGGCCTCCGGCGGCCGCTCGGGACGATGCAGGCAGCCCCCGAACGCTCTCGACGAGGCGCAGCCGCCAGGAATGCCGTCAGGAACCGACGAACACGTCCGAAAGAGCCGTCGGCAGCGAGAGGCCCAACACCTCGCCGCCGACGGGCGGCTGGGTGGTGGAGCGGCAGTGTGGGGGAAGCGTCCATCTAACCCCCACGCTACCCAACGTCGTGCCTCCATCTGCGCGCAGCGCGACTGTCTCCTAGGGGATGCTCCAGGAGGAGGAGGAGGAGGAGGAGGAGGAGGAGGAGGGGGAGGAGGAGGAGGAAGAGGGAGGAGGAAGAGGAGGAGGAGGAAGAGGAGCAGGAGGAGGAGGGAAGAAGAGGAGGAGGGACGAAGAGGAGAATGAGGAGGGAGGAGGGACAAAAACATGATGATGATGATGCTGCTGATGATGGCGCTGCTGCTGCTGCTGATGATGATGACGATGATGCTAATGCTGGTGATGCTGATGCCACTTATGCTGATGATGCTGATGCTGCTGCTGCTGACGATGCTGATTCTGCTAATGACGATCGTGATGATGATGCTGATGATGACGAACAAGGAGATGAAGATGACACTGTAGATTCTGATGCTACTGCTGGTGAAGAAGATGCTGACTATGACGTTGATGATGATGCTGCTGCTGATGATGATGATGGTGGCGACGATGATGATGCTGCTGCTGCTGACGATGATGATGATGATGATGATGATGATGATGATGATGATGATGATGATGATGATGCTGATGATGATGATGATGATGGTGATGATGATGATGCTGTTGATGTTGGTAATGAAGATGACGATGGATACTCACCAGACGATGCTGCTGACGATACGGATAATGATGATGATCAAGCTGATGCTGATTGTGATGCAGATGATGATGCTGCTGATGCTGATGCTGCTGATGATGACGATGACGATGACGTTGATAATGGTAATGCTGCTGATGATGCTGCTGTTGATGATGATGCTGCTGATGATGGTGCTGGTGATTATGATGAGGATAATGAGGAGAAGGAGGGGGATGAGGAGGAGGAGGAGGAGGAGGACTTGGGATGAGGACGATTATGATGATGATGATGATGATGATGATGATGATGATGATGATGATGATGATGAGATGATGATGAGGAGGGAGGAGGAGGAGGAGGAGGAGGAGGTGGAGGTGGGAGGAGCAGGAGCAGGAGGAGGAGGCGGAGGAGGAGGAAGAGAAGGAGGAGGAGGAGCAAGAGGAGCAGGAGGAGGGAGGGAGGGAGGGAGGGAAGAGGAGGAGGGAGGGAGGGAGGGGAGGGAGGGGAGGAGGAGGAGGAGGAGGAGGAGGAGGAGGAGGAGAGGAGGAGGAGGAGGAGGAAGAGGAGGCGGAGGAGGAGGAGGAGGAGGAGGAGGAGGAGGAGGAGGATGAGGAGGAGGAGGGGGGAGGAGGGGGAGGAACAGGAGGGAGAGAGGATGAGGAGGAGCAGGAGGAGGGATGAGGCAGAGAAGGAGGAAGACCAATGGAGCCCGATGTTTCAATACACCTCCCTCCAATTTCCGCCTTCATAGGTCACTACAATAATGTATTTGCACTGCGGGAAGAGCCCCCCCGTAGGAAGACAACCATATGAGAAGCTTCAAACGTGCCAAAACAAGTTTCCTGGGACTTCAGCGCCGCCAATCAACCCTACCGTTGCGTCCTGACGATCCTGAGTCGCGCCAGAACACCATTCCTTGGACTTCAACACCGCAAATCCACGTGACTGTTGCGTCCTGACAGTTCAACGTCGTCCTGGAACGCTGTTCGTGGGACGTCAACCATAACAATTTTCGAAACAGCTGTAGTCTTTAAATCGAATGTGCGCGACGCTGCGGCGAACACCACATTTTGGAAACCACCCGCCCTCAATCCGTGGAGCTGCTGCAAACTGTTGAAACGAACGTGCGCAGTGCTAAAGCGAGAACGACATTTTGAAAACCACCCGCTCTCCATCTGTGAAGCTGTTGCAAGCTTTTAAAACGAATGAACGCGGCACTACAACGATAACCACATTTTTAAAACGACTCGCCCTCCATCCGTAAAGATCTTGCAAAATTTGAAAACGAATGTGTGCGGCGCCAAACTGAGAACCACATTTTGAAAACCACACGCCCTCCATCCGTGAAGCTGTTGCAAATTAGAAGCTCCAAGACTGTAGAACGTGAGGTAATCTCAAGCGAAATCCCTGGCCCGCCCTACCGACGCGTCTCGGGATGCGGCAGGGTGGAGTTTCGAATCGGGACAAAGGATGGAGGAGGAGGAGGAAGAGGAGGAGGAGGAGGAGGAGGAGGAGGAGGAGGAGGAGGAGGAGGAGGAGGAGGAGGAGGAGGAAGCTTCTCTTCTCTCTTTCCCCCTTGGTTTTTCGTTCACCACTCCCCCCTGCGACCGCTAGTCGGAAGGGGGTCGAGGGCAGCTCCTGACAAGGATCGAGTGTCCGCCGTCCTGCGTCCTGGGGAGGGAGGGCGGAAGGGGAGGAGGATCGATCGTTGTTGGGCCTCGCGGGGCCTCTGGAGATCTTCCTGGAGAGGCGCTCCAGCTGGGGCGCTCCGCACTTCGCGCGATCCTCTTCGAGCCCCCGGCGTGGCCACCCTGGAGGATGTCGGCGGCGCGCCCGAGGGGAGGGTCGAGGCCGGCCTTCTCGGAAGGCTCAGGGGTCCCCTGGCCTGCTGAAAAGCTTTCTGAACCAACTCCGAAGTCACAGAGGGCTTCTCAGAGCGCCCGAGGGCTTCTTCTCTTTTTCTTTGAGAATGGAAGGCGAGGAGCGCGCGAACACGTGATCTCGATAGGAGGAGGAGGAGGAAAAGGAGGGGGACGGATGAGGAAGAGGAGGAGGAGGAGGAGGAGGAGGAGGAGGAGGAGGAGGAGGAGGAGGAGGAGGAGGAGGAGGAGGACGGATGAGGAAGTGGGAGAGGAGGAGGAGGAGGAAGAGGAGGAGGAGAGGGAAAGGAGGAGGATGAGGAAAAGGATGAGGAGGAG